TTACCTCTACTCATGCTCCGTTCTATCTAGAAAGCTCCATCTCAAGCTTTAGCTATGCATTTCCTTGAGACTGAGCAGTTTTCCATATTTATTATCTAGTCACTCACTCCTTAAATGAACATTTACCAAGCACCTAGCAAATGCCTGGTACTGGGTATCTATCTACATACAGACAGTCCTCGGGTTACATCGGACTTGACGTACGTTGTTTCACGGTTACGTCGCCGTCTCCCATCTATATATATAAAAGTCTAAGCGACTGATACAACCGAACTACCAGTTGACCAGTTGCTATGATGTGCACTGACCATCAGGGGGCAGGTGCTCAACACAGGAGCTGGACCCTGGTGGTCAGTGCACTCCCACAGCGGGAGTACTGCTCAGCCAGAAGCCAGGCTCATGGCTGGTGAGTGCAGCTGTGCAGCGAGAGCCTTTCCCACCTTTGTGGCAGCACTACAGAGTGGCGAGTGGCAGGAGCAGGCGCAGCAGGGCTGAGATGAGTGGGAGGGCGTGGTGCCTGGCCTGGTTTCGGCTCCTCCCTGACCGCCTGCTGCTTCATGCACTGCTACATCCCCTGAGGGCTCCCGGATTGCAAGAGGGCACAGTCCAGGCTGAGGGACCCCAACCAGTGCACGAACCCGTGCACTGGGCCTCTAGTTTATTTATAAAAAAAAAAAAGCTCTGTCATTTCGACGTATGTACATATGTGCTTTATGTTTTTTATTATTTATTTACCACAAGTAAAGGTCAGGGATTGTTATCTTTTAACTTTTTACTGTTTCACTTCATTACTGCTGTGTATGTGCTCCATGTGAGTGACGTAGGTGGGTTTCGACTTACGGCGAAAATCGCATTATGGCACGCCATAGGAACGGATCTCTGATGTAACCCGAGGACCTAATGTATATAAAAGGCTAAGTGTCTGTCTGTCTGACCGGTAGCTATGACATGCACTGTCCACTAGGGGCATATGCTCAACGCAGGAGCCATGACGCGCACTGGCCATTTAAGAATAAATGGCACCATGGACCTGGCTCCAACAAACCAACACTCGGCTTCCCCCAAGTGGGACACAGGCCCTGCTATCACCCTGGAGCGAAACCCATCAAATCGCAGCCAACGCTGCCAAGACCCTATGGTGTAAAATGCGGCCCACAGCTTAGCCCAGAAACAGTGGCTCTGGGTGCTGGGTAATGATATCACATAGCAACTCCAGCTTCCTCTCCCTAGCGACTAGCCTCCTTGGAGTTTCTTCAGCCCAGGACCTGACTTGCTTTATAGCCTGATGCAAACATTTTACAGTTTAATCAAATGTTTGTGAAGTGTTTTCCCGTGCCTCATCTCATTTGATCCTCACAGAAGTCCTGGAGTAGGTAGATAGGAGACTTGGTAGAATCCTATTTTCTTTTCATGAGCAAGATGCAAATAGAGATATTAAAATATTTCTCCTAATTAATTTCCTTTCAATGTGCACGAATCCGTGCACCGCGACACTAGTATAAAGATGAATAAATCACGGGGTTACTCCTTAAGGAGTTATTTTCTCAACTCTCATGTCTTTTCACATTCTTTTAGTTGACCTAATGGGAACAAAGAAACATTTTTTCCCTTGACCATAAATACATTGCAAGTTCATAATAAAAAGCTGAGATAACATGAAAATCAAACCCATCTCTAATCCTAACACTGGCAGATAACTGCTTGAAACTGTATCTCCTTGCAGTTTTTCCTTGATGCATTAGTAAGAGCCATTTGGATATCACATATTTAGTTTTGCATCTTACCTTTCTTTAGAAACATGTCCCTATTTTATTAACCATTTATGGAAAATGGTTTTATTATATGGCTGTCCTATGACTATTTACCCATTTCATTACTGTAGGCTCAGTCTAAGTTTTTGCTGAGTATGTTTGTCCCTTAATCAGTCTTTAGTCTTTGCCCATATCTTATTATGTTCCTCTAAGAGACTTCTACAAGTATAAGTAATGTAACAAAGGTGTGCAATAGTGAATGCAATTATGTAATAAGCTGGATGGCAAATATTTTAGGTTGTGTGGGCACATACAGTCTCAATCACATATCATTATTTTTATCTCCACCCCTCCCACAAACCTTTACAAATGTGAAAAATAATCTTACTGCTGGACCATACAAAAATGTGCTGTAGGCCAGATTTGGCCTGTAGGCTGTAATTTGCCGATCTCTATTCAAATGTGTGAACAGTTAGGATTTTTCCATATGTTATCAAATATTTTTTCCTGAAGAATGCGTTATTACTATATTCCTACTAGCAATATATCTAAGCATACCCTATCTCTCTGTATTTTATCTAAATTTTAAGTAAAAATTAAAAAACCTACCTAATAAAATTGGTGGAAAATGGAATCTCATTTATATTACTGTGACCAGCAATGAAGATAAAACACTTCTCCCCTTTACATAGGCCATTTATGTTTACTCGTTTATAACATGGACATTTATGTTGTCTAATTCACTTCTGGGTAGTTTTCTCTTAAAGACTTTTTCCTCCCTTTCCAATTAAAAAGAAAAAATAGATTTCATTGTAAAAAAATAAAAATTAAAAAATATAAAGGAACTTTTACTTCTTGTAAAGGCAGGTTAGGTTATTCAGACCAATGCTCCCACTGAAAACAATTAAAATTGGTGTATGAAATTTAAAATCTTAAAAATATAGAATACCTGGCAAGTTAGTAAGAAATTAGTAGGAACCCAGAGAATTAAGT